GTCTACCCGCAGGGCGGCGGAGGCCGTTAATGGTTGTGCCCCGCGGCCGGGCGCTGCCGCTGGTCCTGGCTTCGCTCCCTCCCTCATCATGGACGAGCAGAGAGTGAGTGCTGGCGGCGGGAGCCTGCTTCCCCGCGGGCCGGGCCGGAAGGCGGGCGTGCCCTCCCTCAGCTGGCCGTGCCGCCGGGCTTCGGCGGGGTGGCTGCGGCGAGTGGCGGGGCGGCTGCCGCTGGCAGGCGCCGAGGAGGGGGCGTTTCCCCGGGGTGTCGGCGTTGCCGCGGCGTTGGGCCCGGCTGCCTGAGGAGAGGGGCGGTGGCTGAGGAAGTTGAACGTTACCCGCTGCGTTGTGGGAGGGCGGCGAGGCGGGAAGGGCGCTTGACTCCCGGGATCGCTGTGAGAGTTGCGGGAAGCCTCCGCCTGCGGAGAGGTACGGGAGCGGAGAGCCCAGCGAGAGGGGCTTCTGCGTGCCCGCTTGCTTCGGGCGCTGGCGTGACCGCTGCAGTTGCCGCATCTTAACCAAGTACGGCTCTGGTGGAGAGCTCTTCCACACTGTGTATTGCTGTCATAAGTAATTAGGGTGCGTACATAGGCCCGTCTGTTTCCCATTGATGTAATCCTTGTGTTGAAGGGAACTAATTAGTAAAAGCGTTTTGTAGTGTTTTGGGTTTTTTTCCCTCTGGCTGCTGCCCTATAATTCCCTCCTTCCATTACTTGCCATCTGCCCCCTGAGGGAATTCACTGAGGAGCAGAGATGTGCCTGGCCAAAGGCTGGGCTTTCTAAAAATGATACTCTCTGCAAAAAGTTCTGACTCAGCCTTTAGGCGTTCAGTCTAGCAGTCCAAAAGGGCTTCTGTTACTGTCTCTCTGAAGACTGTGCTTTTCTTAGCTTGGAAACTGGTTTGTGAGTGGGGTCTGGATAACTAGCAGTACTAATGGCTCGAACTTTACAGATCGCAGATGCTTGCTATTTTAGTTAAGTGCTTGTGCAATGCCACTTTGTAGTCATCTATGCTTTGGAAGTTGAGATGTGAAATGCCAAAAAAGTATGTTTCTGGTAGATACTATGTGAATTTGAGTATGTCTGCCCTTGCCTGCTTTATGTGAGGTTAGTCTCTTGGAGAAGGGGCTGCGGCTTTTGTGAGTGCTCTCGATGGATGTTCCTGAGTGGCGTCATTGATCACATTTGAATTTCATTGCTGCTCAGAGGTTCTGAATACAGTAGTAAAATTGCAGTTGATGTTGTATTTTACAATATTTTGTCTGTTAATTTGGTATTGTCACCTGTATTGCCTTAAGCACTCCTTCAAACTCTGGCAACTTCAATGTATGGACAGGTACAGAAGACTAAATTAATGGAGGCTGAGTAAGTATGGCCTCTTGTTTGAAATTCAGTCTGCATGTGAAGGTTAGTATGATACAGGATTTTGTCCTAGGCCCGAGGCTGCTTCAGAAACTCTGTTCTGCATCCAGTCCTGTCATAAGACTTTGGTATGATCTTGAGCAAGTTGATAACTTGCTTCTTAAACAGAACTGATGTAATTGTTTAATTTATCAAAGTTTACTCTTTAACTTTTATGAGATGCCCATCTGCTTCAACAGGTGGTATGTGATGTTGGTTACTAGCCCTTCAAAGAAGGGTATATTGTCTACTTTCATGCTGCTGGCAAGACTATAAGCCACCACATATAGAAGGGCTTCCTGTCCTTTTTCATATCCTTTTATGTTCTTTATCCTGTGTGTATCCACACTGTTGCTTTACGAATGCCATTCTTTTTTTTTTTCTGCAAAGGGTGTATTAGATCAGAGAATAAGAATAGGACATAAAAGTGAAGAGCAGTAGGAAGCTCGCTGTCGTGGTTTAACCCCAGCCAGCAACTAAGCACCACACAGCTGCTCACTCACCGCCCCCCCCCCCCCCCCCCCCCCGG